CCCGACCTCGCCTTCGCCGCCGCCCAAGAAACCCTCGCCTCCCCCTCCAGCACCGAGGAAGCCCTCCCCCGCTCCGGTCCCCGACGAGTCGTCGCTCGTCCTCCTCGTCAGCCGCCTCTCCCGCAACGTCACCGAGGGCCATCTCAGGGAGATCTTCGGTCTGCAGAACCACTCCTCTCCTCTCTGAATACTACTTGAAGTTCAGTTCTTAGTAGTACTGTACTTATGATGCATGTTTTCGTTGTCTGAATACATTGCTGCTGCTGATAGCGTGCCATTTGCTGCCCCCTTTAGCTGATTACCCACCATTGTGTGACTGTGTGATTTGATTTACTGCTTGAAGTTCAGTTCTTGGTGCTTATGCTGCTGCGCGTTTCATTCTCTGAATATATATCGCTGCATTGTGCTGATTACCACACAAGTGTGCTGGGGAGAACTATGGTGAAGTTCAGTTCTTAGTGCTTATGTATACTGCACGTCTTCGTTCTCTGAAAGAATCGCTGATGTTGAGCCATTGCCGCCGCCTTTAGCTGATTGCCACCGTTGTGCTGTGATGCAGAGAACTATGGTGAAATCGTCAATGTGGAGCTGTCCATGGACAAGGCGGTAAGCAGATGAGTTTAGAAGTCATTATGGCTCTAGGGGGAAATGCTGTGATCGTTGTTATGTCATGACTATATATGTTGGCTTTGATTCAGGTCAATCTTCCTCGTGGGTACGGATACGTTGAGTTCAAGATGAGAGCTGATGCCGAGAAGGCGCTTCTTTACATGGATGGTGTATGAATCGAAATCTGCCCTGCTCAACCACATTTCATCTATAGTTCAGGAAAATCGGTGGTTTTAACAATTCAAACTTGTTGACTTGCACAGGCTCAAATTGATGGGAATGTTGTTAAAGTGAAATTCGCACCTGCACCGGGCCAAAAAGCTGCTGTTTCTTTGCCAAAGGCTCTTCCCAATCCTCCGAAAAGAGATCTGCCTGAGACTGATACAGTTGTTCCTAATGCTGAAAAGGCCACTCAGCAGCGACCCAGGGAATGTAAGCTTCTTGTCCTCCAATACCACAAGCTGCTTTTCGGCCCCTAAACCAGGCATCATGTTTGCATTGAGCAGTAATATATATGTTGTTTGAAGCTTAAATACTTACCTGTGAGCAGTATCTACTCAAAGAAAACCAGCTCTGTCTCCACAAAGGCGACCTGCTCCAAGCGGAAGGGTTGACTCACCTAGGCGGCAGCCTGATGCACCACCAATTCACCCTTGGAAAGATCCTCCTCTATTCAGGCGCGGCAGAACACCTCCTAGCCTGAGACCAGGATATCCAGTTCGAAGACGGTCTCCCTCTCCACCCCCTCGAAGGTTCAGATCACCAAGGCGGTGAGTAACGCCTAGATGCATTCTCTTTGTCTTTGCCATGGTGATTGGGAAGTGCTGAAATGTTTCTTTTGATTGCAGCTTTTCACCAAGAAGAGGTTATGTTAGTCCAGTCCGAAGACGTTCTCCATTCGCTCCTAGAAGGATGTAAGTCATTTCAGAGTGCCGCTGTGCCAATATCAGTGATGGGCATACCATCAATGTAGCATGAAAGATAGTAGTTTAGGCTGCACACCACACACATGTCGCTTTCTTCTGTCTCTGCAATACAATATTTGGCTCTCTTCTGCCTTCTACATTTTGACTTCATGGTGCCTTTTTCACTGGTTGACAACACATCATCATCATCATCATCACGGTCAAGTCTTTTTCGGGCGTCATCAAGGTTAACCAATACAATCAGCATGTTACCAAGCATCACAAATGTCACATTGGATCCATAACCCCTTGTGTGTACAACTTTCGCTTGCAACCTCATAAATGCACTCAATCCTATCCCTGGTCTGCCTACTTATCCGATCTATTTCTAATCTGTTTCAAGAGACAGAACAGTCAACACTCTAAGGAAAATGCGCTACGATGGGCAAAAATGCAAAGCCAATATCTCGACAGTTTTCCCCAAACTCATTTAATCTGTGATTATTTAGCCATAAAAAGAAAAAAAAAATCAGTAATGAACATGCTTAGTGCCCAAAATATTAGTGCACTACAATTATTTCTGAACTCTCAGTATCAACATACCAGCCAAAATGCCCTTAAGAGACAGTATAAGCTTTTCACATATTCTGTATTCATCTGAACAACTAGCTGTTATTTGAGCCTTATTTTCATGAATCTTAGTCTGTAGCTTATCTCATTATATAAGAAGTAGCTAATACCATGCAGCTCTAGTTCCAAATTAGAAGACGGAGCCTGCTAATTATTCTTGGATAGTTACTCTGTCTTAACTTGCGTGAACCATTGGGACGATAAACTGGGTCCTATGTAGTAAATCTGATTGGTTATATAAGAAGTTTCTAATTTACTCTACTTTCCAGTTATCTTTTTGAGTAGTTATATAAGAAAAAGCTATTTATGCAAAGTATTGCTTGCATTTTATCTCTGTTAACCATTCTTTCATTCTGCAGGACACCTCCAATGCGGATGAGAAGTCCTCCCAGAAGGCTGCCACCTCCTTATCTTCGTAGTAGATCTCCCATTCGTCGACCAATTCGCTCCCTTTCCAGATCAATTTCTCCTGTCAGGTAATGGTGTTGTTGACCTAGGTTCATATCTTATTTTTGTACCATTTTGGATCAGTGGTTTGTGCATCTTTTATGGACAAAAGGAAACTTACAGTCAGCCTGTCACTTCAGCGCTATCTCCTGAGCAGTGTAAAGAAATATCCCCTTGTGTTAACAAACCACTCTATGGAACCAGGGGTCGAGCAGCTCCTGTGAGGCGTGGGCGCTCATCCTCGTCATATTCTGAATCACCAACGCCGCCAAGAAGGGTAAACTCGTAACTTTTACTCTCTTCTTTTTTTTCTTTAAGATGAAAAAAAGGAAAGAGGGCTGATTATTCCTCTTGTACAGGGAGCCGGAAGGGTGCTGAGAAGTCGCAGCCCTCAAAGGTAGTAACCTTTGCCTTTCCAAGTCGTAAGTGGTGCTATTTTTTCTTCTATTAGAGCAACCTGTTTAATTGTGCATCATAAGAATCCGTCTCAAATACAACAAAAGGAAATTAGACGTTATTTTGCCCCGTTTCAAACCAATTTATTTATCTAACAGAAAGGAATTCTTTTTTCTTTTCTTTCATTTGGCGCAGGCCCTTTAGAGGGAGACGGAGAAGTGCCTCTAGCTTCAGCAATAGTAGTGGTTCATCCTCCCCTATCCGCCGTTAGAACTCCAGACATGTTAAAACCCTGGTAGGTAAAATCTTTTTTGTCTCGTTGTCCTTTTATCTCTGATGATCTGGTTTGCCTCTGTTGCTGTCATCAAGCTTCGGATCGGGTCACATATCATTGGAACGAGCATGCGAGTCTCTGTCTGAGATCTTCGAAGAGTTGGCTTTCGTTCTGTAGTGGATTAGAGCACATTAATCGGTTTTCTCGTTTCGAATTTTCGATGAGACCTGGATATTTATGTTGGTAAATTTAATTTTACGAGATTGTTGTGCCCGCCCCAAAAAATTGTTGTCGGTGGATTCATGTGTGCTTATGTTGTTTATGTTTGTCAAGTTATTACACATGTTATTTTTGACATCACTGTCGGCCATCTCATTCTACATGAGATAGACAACAGTTTTCTGTCCCAGTAAAACGGAATATATGAAGAAACCTTATATGGAGAAACCTGGGACGATTTTGATCAACAAGGTAAAATAAAATGACCATACTCATGGAGCTTATTTAAATCATAAATTATTGTTATTATTTTTTACAGCAGAGAGGATTTGGACCTTCTACTGAGTAAATTGTGCTGCCCCAAAACAACCAATATGATTTTTTTTTGATGAATAATTTCTTTTGAGGATGATGACACTACTGCGATATTACACCATCTGCGCCCTGTAAATCTCGCATTGTCCCGATCACAACAACATTATACTGAAAATAGAATTCAAATTTAAATTTCTAGACTATTATTTTTATTTTGAGTTAGTATTTATGGGTTCAGATGTGATGTTCACACCATGCATTTTCAATTTAGTACATTTTTATTAAAAAAAGTCAACCTTGTAAAAGTTCAATGGATGTATAATAAGACATTTTAGAGAATCTCCAACAAGTCCCTAAAGAAAACTCCCCTTAAATGTAATTTTAGGGCCAGTTGTTGATGGCTCGTGAGATCACTATGCTTCTACAGGAACGTGGAGAATATCTAGTCAAGCATGCAAGGAGAGAACAAAACGTTGTTAGCCATTATTTAGCAAACTATGGTAGAACAAAAAAGTGCACTGCAGTGTGGCTTTGACCTTCGATCCGGTCCGGACGAGGTGCCGGACCTATGTAATGCAGATTTGGCTGCTGCTTGATGAATGGAACTCCTTTTCCTCGCAAAAAAATGTGCAGTTGTTGATAAAACAATGTTATCTTAAGTCTTTTATTTTTAATAATTAGTAATTCCGAAAACTTGGTGAGAGATATTATTATTAAGAGATCATCTTTTAAATAAGAGAAGACAAACCTTTTCTTATAATTTCTCTCTTCTCCATCTCAGCATTTATTCTATGTGACACTCCTAAGATAGCGCCATTGTACATGCCCTTACATTGGAGTGCGGCGAATCTGCACCCGGGCTCAGCTGCACCCGCGCTCACGGAAAAAATAAAAAAAATACTATACAAATTCAAAAAATTCCAAAAAAAATTATGTGGTAGATAATTTGATGCGTGAGGTTCTGTCCAAATTTCAACTCATTTGGACATTTGAGGAGCTCTGGGAAAAAAAGACAAAATCAGGGTCTGTAAAACAGTTTACTGTTCAGGAACTGTTTTGACCTGATTTGTCTTTTTTGCCCAGAATTGCTCAGATGTTCAAATGAGTTGAAATTTGAAGCGGATCTCACGCATCAAATGATCTACCACATAATTTTTTTTGGAATTTTTTGAATTTTTCTAGTATTTTTTTTGAATTTTTTTCTGAGCAGGTGCAGCTGAGCCCGTGCTCAGATGCAGATTTTCGCTTACATTGTGTTTATATAATCTAGGGAAGGTTCTTATGTGTTGTGATTTAGCATATTTCCTATACATATCATATCAGTCTAAAGCCTGTTTTTGTTTGTATATCTCTTCAAACTAGCATACAAAGTAAATAGAGAATTACATTTGGATCCCTCAAAATAGGGAAAAGACCCTCAAAACCGAAACTACAATTGCAATCAAATCCTCGGGCTTAGATGGATGCCCCTCGAGCCATCGTCATCCAGTAGATGAAGGCGCTCCAGTGCGTGCCGGGCCAGGCGGTTGGTCTGCAGGGTGAGGCGGTTCGGCGGTCGGTCACGGCATGGGTCACCGACGGGGCCTGTTGGTGTAGGTTTTTTTAGCCCAAATCCCCCGTCAACAAGCTCTTTTTTTTACGTGGAAAAAGGGACTTATGTGAGATGCTCTTATTACAACATTGTGTAAATAGTAAATTTAACCGTCCATCAATTTTCAGCCGTCGGATCGGCATCGAACGCATGCGTGAGACCAGCGGTGGCACCTTTACAAAAACACACCTGCCAGTGCCACTCCGCTCCATCTTTTTACATAAAACCCCTTCGTCTCTCCCGTGCAGACCCCACCTCGTCCAGGCAGCCATGGCAGGCCGGTCAGGCGCGGCGGTGGCCGCCGCCGGCGTCGTCCGCCGCCAACGCCTCGCGCTCGCGGGTCTTATCTCTGCCGCGGCAGCCCGCCGCCCAACCCCTCATCCGTGTCATCTCCTTTCCTGTCTCCTCCGCAAGTACGCCGTCCGTTCGTCGACGCATCTCATGCTTCCTCCTCGGTCCCAGTAGTCCCGCCGCCCACCATCACCACACCCTCCCCCTCCACCTCGTTGTATCCCAGCCCCTCCCCGTCTCCTCGTAAACAATAGTCCAGCACAAATTGCTCTGCTTCCCCGTCGCTGATCTGCACGCACGTTAGGTGATCGACGAAATGCCATAGCATGCATATTTTTCCAACTTGTACGCATGTAGCACCAGCCATTCAGTTGGTATGATGTGCATTACGGCATCCAAAGAGTGGAGATGGAATAAGATTGCATCACAACACTACTATGTTAACCATAGTAGCCGGAAACGGGGATCAGTAGGCCGTCCCTCGATCCCGATTCATCGACCCGGAATCAGATTCGGAAACGAGGTCGGATTTAGTACGATTCGATGAAGATTCGGCGTCCCCGCAGCCCGCTCCTCGATTCAGGTTCCAGGATCCAACAGCCAAAACGCGAGGCATAATTTACTCACGCCGTCGTTTCTTTTCTCAATGACTACTCGTTCTTCCTCCAGTCCATTAATTGCAAGGGTCCATTAACAGCAAGGAATGTTGACCGTCACGGAGTCGTCGTTCTTCAGGAACTGTGTTCCTCGACCCATGGTACCGTACCGGGTTCATCGTACCCAAACGGATTGGATCGCGTCCCCCTATAAAAAATTCGTTTGAGAGATGTATACCCTCATTGTACCCTATTTTTTTCAGCCACCGACTCTCGTCCCTCCTTCCCGTTCCTCGTTCCCACCGTACCGAAAACATGGCAACTATGATGTTAACACCCTATTGCTTTGAAAGATTTGACTGAGCTCAAAGCCTCAACTACCGTCCATATGCTTCCCCAGGAAGCTGCCGGGCTGCCTGGGGATGCTAGGTAGCAAATAAGTCAGAAACATCGCGGAGGCTGTTGTCGGGCACCTGGTGGTCATGCTCGGCTCGGCGCTGGCGACAGAGGCGGCCACCTTCGGCTGGGCGCTGCTGTGCCAGGAAACCGCCGCCCTGAGGGGCCTCTTCGGCAAGATCCACGAGTCCAAGGCGTCTCTAATGAATTCATTTTCATAATACCCTAAACCTCGACATGAGTGCAGTGTCATCCTGAAGCAAAAAACAGTGTTATTGAAGCCCTGGCCTTGACATGTGGTGTCATCGATTTATCAAGAAGCTATTGCTTAAACATCTTCAACGCTACCAGCTCCCACGGCAAGGCCACCTGTCCCACCTGGTTTCTCAAACTCATTTGTGGAGAAAAGGTTCAGTCCCTGTCATCCAACATTGTGCTTGAACCAAGGTGCACATCTTGACATTGTTTTAGTTATATACTCCCTCCGTCCCATAGTATAAGAGCATTTTTTACGCTAACATTTCAAAAACGCACTTCTATTATGAGACAGAGGGAGTAGTTAGATGTCAGCAAATGCAGGTAATTATCGTGTAAGCACCAACTCTGTAGTCTATACCATTAGCTGCTAACCTGTTTTATTAGAAAAAACAAGTTTAGTTAGTAGTTACTTTCATCTTCCCTCTGACCAACGTTCGCTGGTCTAAAAAGTTTAGTTACATCACTGCAAAACGCCTATATAGTGTTGCTGCTGAATTTTTCAAAAGACTTCTATTGCTATCTCCATTTGGTGCCTATCCCCATCAGGTTCATAACACTATTTGCAAAATCGGGGAATTCAGTATTCCATAGATTGATACACTATTAATTACATTGCAGGTAAATTTCCTAGGCACGTAGTTCACAAATATATTTTTGGGCTACCAGAAGAGGTGGACTGTACTCTGCAGATGAAAAGGTATGTGGTACAGATCACCGAACAGACAATGAAACATATATATTGGCCTGTATTTTTGTTTTCAAGCTATTCAAAACATACTTACAATGTACAAATAAGATAAGATTAAAAAACAGTTACGAAAACCAAGTGTGTAATTAAGTTGGATGTCTTCTTCTCATTAGCCACTTATTTCACCTTGGTCCAGATAAAATTGATGCTTGAGTTTGAACTGAATATGCGTTCGGATTATCTTCCAGGGGCAAGACTGTATTTGTATTGAGAAATCTGTGAAGAATAGTGGTTTCTATGCTCATCCCACCTTCTAATACCTTTACCACCATTGACATGTTAGGCCTTTGACCGGCATCATTTAGCAGGCACCACATTGCAAGCTTCATCATTTGAATGACCTGCTCCTGGTGCGAGAGCATGTCTTCACTATGTTCGTCAATCAGATCACTCATTTGATTATCTCGAGCCTTTCCTCGTAACAAATTGATGAGGTGAGAACTCTCCTCAGGCAAAGAATTATCAATATTTTTTCTCCCACTTATTAGCTCCATGACAACTACTCCAAAGCTGTAGACATCAACCTTTTCAGTGATTTGTGAGGTTAACCATTCAGGTGCCATATACCCAGGCGTGCCTCTCATCATCGTCATTACCTTGCTTTGATCCCTGTCTATTAGCTTAGATAGTCCGAAATCGGCCACTTTGGCATTAAAGTTCTCATCTAAGAGAATATTTTGTGGTTTGATGTCCAAATGAGCTATCTTTCGCCTGCACTCCTCATGAAGATAGCATAGGCCTTTGGCAATATCCAGAATGATTCCACACCTTGTGTGCCAATCTAGTGGGGCATTATCGTGGCGGTAATAGATCCATCTATCAAGTGACCCTCCCGACATATATTCGTACACAAGAAGCCTTTGGAATTTCTCTGTACAAAAGCCAATCAGCCTGACAAGATTGATGTGCTCTATGCTTCCAATGGTTTCAACCTCTGCCAAAAACTCTTTCTTTCCTTGTCTAGCACCTTCCAGACGTTTGACTGCAACTCTCTCTTCACCTAATTTCCCTGCAAAAACCGACCCAAATCCACCTTCTCCAAGCTTTTTATTGAATCCTTCAGTGCATTCTCTCAGCTTGTCAAATGGAAACCTTGTTGGCATCCCTGGTAATTGATCAAACTGGAGGTCTTCATCATTGTCTTCATACTTTCCCCTCCTTAGCAGACAAACAGTGATAACAATGGCAATGAATATGATAGTAGTAACAAGTGCAAGGGTGATGCCTAGAATGACCTTTTTGTTTGCAGCAGAAGAGGGGCTAGATTGCACCTTGAGGTAAGCAGACGAATTGAAAGAAGCCGTTTCAGGTTGTATTGATTGCAAGGAGAAGACCTTTGTCACCCACAGACAATCGCCCTTGGAATCATTGAGGCCATATCTGAAGATGACGGCCCTGCAGGAGCAGTTCTTCAAGCAAGCCTGCTTACAACTGTCGCCATTCGTTGCATTCTCAATGGTGTGGCTTTCATCAAAGTAAGAAACATTGGTAAGGGTCAAGAGCTGGTGGTGTTGCATTTCTTGGCAAGAGATTGGATTCAATGGTGCGCAGCCAAGATTTGCCTTGCGGCCGTTCACCAGCTTGAAGTAATTTGTTGAACTTGAGTTGTCCTCAAATGGACACGTGCACTGCCCAGCTGTGCATATGCCATACTCTCCGCACACTGTTGGGAATGCACAATCATCAGGCAATCTTTCTATCTTGGTTACGTCAGACAACAAAGTGCATGTCGCTTCCGCCTGAGACCATTCATACAGCCTAAGGTGCCCATCAGACTCAAGCCTCATGTACTGGGTGGATTTAGCTGCTGGCAGTGAGATATTAGACATATGTGGGTTGCTTGGCTGCCTAGACTGCACAAGGAGGCTGAGGCTGCCATTGACAAAGTTAACCTTTGTTGGACCATTTCCTGTGTCATTCTCGCTCACCCATACTGAATATGCATAGTAGAGTTGTGGTGGTGTGGATTCAACATAACCATACAATCCTCTGGGAAGAACTGTCATGTAGAATTGATTCTCTGTCCAATTTGTGGCTACAAACCTCGTACCTTCCAGTAGTGACTGCCCAGGGAGCAACACGTCACTAGGATGATCAAAAGACTGCCATACAGTTCCATTACTGTGATCAAATAGCACCAGATTGCTGTCCTTGGTGATCACCATGCCTGCTACTGACCGGCCCGAGCTGCCGCTAGACCAGACGAGGCTAGCATCAGCATCTCGGAGCACCAAGTTCCCATCAATGGTAAGCTCAACAGTGGCACCCTCCCTTACAGGGCGAGCCCGGTTGGCAGACCATACCACGTGCGGTCTTGCGGTCTTACTCTCACCATGAATACCATCGATGTGGAAAATGTAGACAGCAAAGAGGAACGCGTTGCAGGGGGAGGCACAGAAGAAACCTGCGCCAAAGGAGGGTCCGAAGAAGGTTTGTGGTGAGCTGACAACAATGGAGCGGACCACCGATCCATCATTGAAGCCCAAGTTTGACATGTAATCTTCGTTGTTGACCCACAGTGTTGAGATGTTGGCTGTGGGATACTCGGCAAACTGCGCCTCGGAGAGCAATTGTGCCGCAGTTGCTAGTATGAGGAGGAGGAGACCGGCAGGTCCCATGGACTTGCAGAGGAGGGAGATCGAAGCTTGGGGTACAAACGAGACTACCTGAAAGATGGGCTTGCCGGCATGGTATTTACCACAAGTTCCCAACCATATCATTGCCAGACGCTGCTTCAGTGATATTTGCAGACGACTTTCTGGACCGCGCTCTCAATATCAGAAACTCCAAAAGGTCACTATTCGGCTCTGCCGGCCGAAATCATCGTCGTAATTAATCTAGTAGCTGCCGGCTCAAGTATAATATAGTTAATTAGTACACGTCTGACTCAAGGAAGCACTACCTTAGTCCTTAGATGTCCTTTTTTTAGGGAAGGCCTTCATGGCTAGCTTTATTGATATCAAAACATTGTTACATCATCAACCAACTTATCGACTAGACAGCCAGGAGGTTTGTCAGTCCAACTAAGCAAGCTCTTATTACAATAAAACAGTAATTATCTAGCACATGCGCAGCTATATTGGCCTACAGGTGTCCCTAATCATAGTCCTTAGATGTCCCTAGTCTTTTTCTAAATGCCTGCAAGTACTATTTAGAGTAGCATCAGGGGATCACTAATAAAGGTTGTACATAAATTTGGATTCAAATTTGCTCCAGATGTCTAGTTCTTGAAATCGTCACTCTAGTCATTTTTGTCATCCGGTAAGCAATTGTTTCATTAATAGACAAATGTCAAGGACTTCCACTCACCAGTAATTTCATTAGTAAAAAAGGAGTTGCCATTTGGCGCCCATACATGACTGTGGTTCCAATGGCTACCAGCGGAACACTTCCCTCTTGATGTGGGTGGGGGTTGCGTTATGCAGGTGGAGGTATCTGCGTAATGATAATTTCTAACAGCAACATTCCAGCCGCACGGTCATACTGTATTGAGTTATTTCACAAGACCATGTTCTACTTTTCACAAACTATTTACGTTCTATGGACGTTGTGGAAACACGAAATAAATCCGTTTTAAAGGTATTAGACCTAGTGATCCTACTACTGACGTGATTTTCCTTCTCTGCCAATTTCTGAACACTTGGGCGGAACTTCAGAAAGGTGCTCTGCAGAAGCTTCTGGGGCAGGGGGCTAGTGCGATGGAGAAAACGGCGAAGGAGATCTTTGGGCGGCAACACGGCTGGACCCTGTGATCAGGAGGCTGGCCATGTAGTTTTGTGGGTCGGTCGAGAACTTGAGCCTTGCCTGTTGTGGCCTAAATTCTGTTGCTGTTTCTAATTTAGCTGAATATGCAGTTTAGCTGAAAATGACAACTGTTCTTATGCATTTTCCCTAGATGGTTATGACAGTTTTTGCATACATATACCACCAATTGTTCATCTCGCCCCACAATTTCTCTGCGGACACAATCTTGGATCAGGTCCGTCGTATCTACTGCATCTTGATGGTTTTCATTTGATTTTATTATTGTCCCGTGTATCGCCCATGGTTCTCATACACCAACATCGTACCTTCTTTTGCCATCATCTGACCTTAAGAAACTTTTTATCCTGTGTATCATGCATTTGGTCTTAAGAAACTTGATGTAGCGAGGAGCAGAGGAACTTGTATCAGCAACTCCGGGAGATGTTAGGCAACTTATGCAAAGCCAATAAACTCTCTGCTTGCTTATGAAAAGCACATAATACAATACAGTAAGCTGGTCGTGTATGTATTTATTTATTTGAGTGCTCGCTCGGTTCACCGTCATGAATGTAGCTCTAGATTCACCATGTACAACATCGTCGTCGTCGTAGCTCTCCCATGTACTCTTGTGATTTGTGATATGAGTGATGGTGTCCATGTTGAGACCATTGTACAGAAACAATGTATGGACTCTGGTTGATAGAGCTAACTAACTTAATTAGGTGCTTGATTCCCCTGTTGATTGATTGATTTATTTATCCTCTGCACTAATCCTCTCTTTTTTCAGCATGTAGATGGAAAATTTATACTTATATTTGTGTAAATTGTCGCTTTGTATTGTTTTGGATGGCATCAAATACTTTGAGAATGCACATGATATCATATTTGAATGCATTATATATTTATAGCCTAATTTTTTCAATACACTATCATATTTGAATATGTATCAGGTGTACAGGTTGTCTGTCACAAACTCTGTTCACTATAACAGTGTATCACTGACCAAGTGATGGTTATGTTCTAAGATTATCATCTCATATTATGATATTATATGTAACACTTTTTGGTCTGTAGGTGGTTAGTTGCTTGATATGGCTAACCTATTAACCTTTTATTTGTTTAAATATAAACTTTGGCTTGATAAGTACGTATAATTCTGCTTTTATAATTTAATTTTACAGTGTAATGGAGCATGGACCGAATTGTTGCTGACAGTTTTTACTCGCCTCTAATGAATTCATTTTCGTTATCTCTTATTGACATGAGTGCAGTGTCATCCTGAACCAAAAGACCGTCATTGAAGCCTTGGCCTTGATATGCAGTCTCATCGATTGATCAAGAAGATACCACTTAAACATCTTCAACTCTACCATCTCCCGCACGAGGCCACCTGTCCTAGTTGTCCAACATTGCGCTTTAACCAAATGTGCACATCTTGACATTGTTTCAGTTATATAGTTAGATGTCAGCAAATGCAAGCAATTATCATCAGAAGAGGTGGACTGGTACTCTGCAGATGAAAAGGTATGTGGTACAGACTCACTGAACAAACAATGAAACATATGTATTGGCCTATAATTTTTATTTTCAAGCTATTCAAAACATACTTCCATTTTACAAATGAGATAAGACTTAAAAACAGTTACACAAAAACCAAGTGTGTAATTTAGTTGGATCTCTTCTTCTCATTAGCCACTTATTTCACCTTGGTCCAGATAAAATTGATGCTTTAGGTTGAACTGAATATGCGGTCGGATTATCTTCCAGGGGCAGGACTGTATTTGTATTGAGAAATCTGTGAAGAATACTGGTTTCTATGCTCATCCCACCCTCTAATACTTTTATCACCGTTGACATGGAAGGCCTTTGACTGCCATCATTTAGCAGGCACCACATTGCAAGCTTCATCATTTGAATCACTTGCTCCTGGTGCGAGGCCATGTCGTCACTATGCTTGTCAATCAGATCACTCATTTGATTATCTCGAGCCTTTCCTCGGAACATACTAATGAGGTTAGAACTCTCCTCATGCAGAGAATTATCAATATTTTTTCTCCCACTCACTAGCTCCATGACAACAACTCCAAAGCTGTAGACATCAACTTTTTCAGTGATTTGCAAGGTTAACCATTCAGGTGCTAGATACCCAGGTGTGCCTCTGATCTTTGTCATTACCTTGCTTTGATCCCTGTCTATTAGCTTAGATAGTCCAAAATCAGCCACTTTAGCATTGAAGTTCTCATCTAGGAGAATATTTTGTGGTTTGATGTCCAAATGAACTATCTTTCTCCTGCACCCCTCATGAAGATAGCACAGGCCTTTGGCAATATCCAGAATGATTCTACACCGCGTGCGCCAATCGAGTGGCGCGTTGTTGTGGCAGTACACTGGTAGAAAAAGGGCCTATAGTCCCGGTTCGTAAGGGCCTTTAGTCCCGGTTCCGGAACCGGGACTAAAGTGTCGGTACTAATACCTCCCCCCTTAGTCCCGGTTCAATCCAGAACCGGGACTAAAGGCCCTCCACGTGGGCAGTGCGCAGAGCCCAGTCAGGAGACCCTTTGGTCCCGGTTGGTGGCACCAACCGGGACCAATAGGCATCCATGCGTCAGCACTTTTGTGGC